AGGAGGTAAGCAGTACCTGCATATTTCAGGTGTTCTACCTTGTTTTGGCAAAGTTTGGCAGTCACCTTCCTTGTGGCCCATTGGTCCAGTTTGGACAGTATAATGTCAGCATTTGAGGCAAGGGCAGTTTCTTACTCTAATGCCGAGCTTATGCCACAAAGAAATCAAACTCCATATGGAGTTTTTTTGATGCCCATCGTCTTCTCTGAAGTAGATTGGTGCTGACGTGTCTCACAGTTATGAAAAGCCTTATATTATTAAACATATTAAATGCCATATTCTGTAGGTCTTTGAAGTGTTTGAAAACCACCTCTCTACCTAAATATATCTGTGTATGACCTTGAAATCATACTTAATATGACTATAAGTTTGATTATTATAGATGACTATTAATCTTTATTTCTTTTTTGGAGGGGGTTATAGATGTTTATTATCATTTAAGGGGGGTTGGTTACAAGTTGTTATTGGTAATAGTAAAAAAAAAACTGGAGTTAAGTTCAGTTAAAAAGATTAAAGTTAAAAAGATCTCTTTCTAAAGGAAAAATGGGGATATAATATAGAAGAGATAGGATAAGAAGATAGATTGCTGAATCAACTTTAATCCAAAAAACAACTATTAATCTTAAATATTTCATTGGTATTGATTTTGGTTTATGGATACAAATTTAAACTTAATTTTGTCATATTGTATGTCTTAATTATACATTTTTAATGAGCTGCATAAACACAATACTCCAAACAAGAGTATAAATATACATATAGTATACCAAAATTAAGTTTAAATTTGTAACAATAAACCAAAATCCATACTAATATAAAATATTAATAATTGCATTTTTGAATTAAAGTAGATTCAATAATCTCCCCTTTTATCCTACCATTTTTATATCTCCCCTTTTCTTTTTAGAATGAGATTCCCTAAATCTAATTTCCTTTGTTTAGTTTTTTTCTGACCATTACCAATAACAACTTGTAAACAAACCCCACTAAATGATAACAAATATCCATAATTTATTTTTGGGGGGATGTGCCATAGTTTTCTAGATTACTTCCTGTTGATTGGGGGCTTGGGTAATCTTTGAGGGAAACTTGAAAAAATCAGGATAATTGTTAACTCTTAGTTATAGTATTTTGTGAGGCTGGATTATCTGTCAGCAGCCTAGAAAGCTGTTTTAGATGCTGCATCATCCCGGCCATCATTTTCATTGGTGTCTGGCCCCTTTGTTCTGAAAGTATATAAACTTTTAAAGGTAACATTTTAGTACAAGTATAGATTGTGCAATGCATGTAAGTCAGTTAAAGATCATTTCTTGTTATAAGTTTGAGCAGGTAAAATATATATCACATGTCTTGTAGGGTTTTTTTTTTTATTATTTATGTTTGTAGCCAGGATTTTCAAGGGATCTTCCTCAATCAAACCTAATTTTCATTAACCTGGAATGAATCCATAGCCCCTCATTTTCTGTGGAAACAAAAGGATAACCTTGTCCCTAAAGCAACTTATCTTTTGACTTAAATTTTGAAGTCAAGATGTTTTTAAAATATATAGGTTGGTTTAATCCAGCAGTTTCTATAATCCAATGTCTCTTAACAGCCAAATAATTCAAAGACAACACAATAACATACATGATCTAAACTCTTTGTGTATTTCCCATCTTTATGTAGTTTATTTCTTTTATATTACTTACTCCCTTTTTAAGGACTTTATTTTATTATTTTAAAACTATATTTTTAAATTTGAGACTGTGTATATTCTTTCTCTTCTCTCTCCCGAGTCTATCTGCATTTTCAAACACACTGTGATTTGTTTAGAGGCTCTCTTTCTCTAAATCTGTCCTTACTGTGTATCTGTAACCTTTTTTTGTCTGCATGAGCAAAACCTCAAACCTGCCACACAGCACATTGGCTCAGCTCACTCTGGTGGCTCAAGCATACAGGTGGCAGCTGGGAGATGCCTCTCTGTACTGTGACCTGTATGAGAAATACAAGACTAGGAAGTTGCTCTTGGCTCTATTTTAGAACCTTTTTAAAAGCTCTCTCAGGTTTTATGTGGATGGAGTTTCCCTACATTGGGTGCCATTGTAGGCAGAGTTTTCCTGTCCCAGGAGTCACTTCCAAATTACCACACAGAGGCTTAATATTATTTACAAATGCTCAGTGTATAGCTCAGGCTTGTTACTAGCTAACTCTTATACTTAAATTAACCCATATTTCTTATCTATCCTTTGTCATGTGGCTCATGGCTTGTTACTTCATTTTCTGTATGTCTGGCTTCCTCTGCAGCTGGCTGACTTCTTCCTGACTCTGCCCTCTTCTTCCGAGGGTCCTCTGTGTCTGGCTCTCCCACTTATACTTCCTGCCTCGCTAACGGCCTGTCAGTTTTTTATTAACCAATGAGAGTAATACATATTCACAGTAACAGAGGATGATTCCACAACAGATCAAGGTGCAAGCAGGGATTGGTCCTGGTTGTTGTGTCTCTCCTGGGCTACAGACTATTGACTACTTGTGTGTCCAAAAATGACAAAAGGAGAGTGAGAAATCTCTCTGACCTCCCTGCTTTGTGTGTGTTTTTTTTTTCCTTATTGTTTTTGTTTCTTGGATTTTGTTTTGTTTTGTTTTGTTTTTAGAACACTGTACTTTTTTTGTTTTTGAAAGTTTTAATATCTCTTTTTCTTAATTATATTTTGTACCCCACAAGAGGGTTCTTCAATAGAAGATTCTCTCAGCACCCTACTTTTCTTACCCTTACCTGTCCTTATTGCACAGATACATGCCAGTTATCTCTAGGGCCTAGCCTTTACAGAGTACATCATTCCTACCAAGACTCTTGAACATTCATAGAAATAAGTGGCTATAGATGATTGCCAAGCATCAGCCCCTCACTTGCTATATAGCTACTTCCCTGGCTCTAACCAAGTTGTGTATGGTTTCCTACTTACAAGCAACTCTTAAGGGGACATTTCCAGCAGTTAATATTTTTTTTTTTCCAAAAACATGATAAATTGGGAAGATGCACAAAGAAGCATAATAGAGAAGCAAGTCAGTCCTACTGGGCTCAACCAAGCAATCATTCACTGAGCCCGAACTATGCTTCAGGCTAACCTGACTCTGCAGTGACCTACAGAACCTTTCTGTTTACATTTTCTCCCCCAAGCAGCTAAAGCTCTTTGACCAATGTGAGACTTGAGATCAATCCAGTTGTTGATAGTTTTCAAGTCCTTAGATTATTAAAATAATCATTCTCCCTTCTTGATTCTTAGGCTTGGTAGAGCTCAGATCTTCATAATAGAGAACTCCTGAGTTCTTCATAGTGAGACTCTTGCCTTGAATTTTTCTAGCTGCACCCTGGCATCTCTTCTTCTCTGGCGTATGTACTAACGGCCCAATATGTCTTCTTACTAGTTGTCAAACACCATGTGCACAACCTGCTTGCCTGGACATGAGTTGGAAGATGTCTCTTCTTTTGGCATAGGCAATGAGCTCTGTTAGGTGTGGACACCCTCCTCCTGACCACTTGCCAATGCTAGGCTGTGGCCAAGGCCTGCAACCCACACCTACCTTTCTACTTCCCTCTGCCAATTTTGCTATTTTCAGGTACTTTTGTTAGAAATATCAATGAACTTGACTTCTCAGATTCTAGTCCCATCTGTACTAACCTGCTCCCTGTACTCAATCTCTTAACAGGAAATACTGTCTAAAAAGAAATCTAATCTTCCCAAAGCATCAAAACACATGACTTATGATACCCATCATCTTAAGGCAAATATTTTACATATGTGTGATTTTTTTTAAAATTATTTATGTATTTTCTAATTTAAATTATGATGTGGCTAAAGAGATGGATCAGCAGTTATGAGGACTTGCTGCTCTTGCAGAGGACTCGAGTTCAGTCCCCAGCATCCACATCACGCTGTTTTCAACTGTCTGAATTCTGATTGCAAGGGTCTTGACACCCTCCTCTGGCCACTGCGGGCACCTTCACCCATATGACATACATTCATACAAACACACACATACACACATACATACACATAAATACACAGACACACATAAAATCACATCTTTTAAAAATTAAATTAAATAAAAAAAATAAATTATGAGCTCCCTAGAGGCAAATGTGTCCCCAGAATGGTACCCGAAAGGAAATAGTTGCTTAGAGAGATAACAGTACATTGAATTTCACCAGCTCAGAAATTGGCATCAGTGGGTGTATCATGCACAGTTACTTTTCACTCTGTCTGCACTCAGTCTTTTCTCCGGTATTTACTGAGCGCCCACTGAGCGCCCACCATGTGCTGAGTTACTTTGCAAAGTAAACAGAATAGATTCTTTTGCAAATGGTGTAGTGCTGCTAAATGACAGCCGAGTCAAGGGAAGTGTAAACACCAACACCGGGGGGTGGGAAGTCAGCGTAGGGAAAGGTGCGGGGAATGAATAGAGGAAGACCAAATGGCGTCTGTGTGAAGTGGAGGCTTGAGGTTTTCCCCACCCCCTTTAAAGAATAACCTCCCCGCAAGTCTCCATTTGATTTGCGTTGGTTTTCTTTTGTATTTTTAACAGGCTAGGCTAGGTTTCAATTATTAGAACCTCCGAGAGTTTGTAAACAGGGGAAAACAAAACAAAAACAAAAACCACTCCTGTGTTATTCCCTTCACAATATAAACGTGGGCTTTAAAAAGAAAGAAACCCACAGAATAAATGCATTTCAATAATCACGGTGTTGGTGCAAACTGGTTTCCTGTCTGAAGGCCGCCTGCCTTGAACATTGAACGCTGACAGCACACCTTCTTAATCTCCAACCCCTTTCTTCTCCACTGCATAGTCTGGACGACATTAGCAAACTATTGTTTACTTAGCATCTCTCCATAGACAATGTTGCTGCGGCTTCACCAGGTGACCTCCTTAAAAACCTCATTGTGGCAGCCCCTGGAAGACAGGGCAGGGAGGCCCTGTGGAGTTTGCTAGCCTTCTAACCTGAGCAGGCACTAGGACCGCCCAGACACTGTCTGCAGGCGCGCTTCTCACCCTGTCAGAAGGACTGAGCCGGTTTAGCTGTTACACAAGAAGAGAGCAGCGGGCACCCGGGCTCAGACTGCCTCCCTTTTGCAGACGAGAAGGTATAGAGAAGGTATAGATGAGCTATTTATCCCCCAGCTTTTGTACGATGTCCGCGTGCCTTTAAGTGTTCACGTAATCTGATGCTCTGCAGAGCTGCCCAGCTCTAACGGGTTACTCTATTATTTTATGCTAATTCCCACAGCCGATGGAAGCAACAGTGCCGTAAAGAAATGGGCTAGCTATTCCCCGAGGCTGTGATCTGGAAGCATTTGGAGGTGTAAGTACCCGGCGTCAGATCTCGAACGCACTGGCTGAGCTGTGTGTCCCTTGACCCCTTTTCCTCCTCACTGGAGGAGCCGATGTGCGGCGGCATCTGCATGTTTCATTCATGAAGAGCAACAGAGGGTGACAGAAACCGCAAGTGATGGGCCTGAAACTCCACTTTGGAGTGACTGTGTTCCTTCCTGGAGGCTGCAGTTTGCTAGAGAGGCTGGGTTCGCACACAGTTCAGAGAGGAGAGTGATGTAGCTCAGGGCTGCGGACTGCTTGGCTTGGTTTCTGCTTCTGTTTTCAAAGCTTACAGCACTGTTTTCTCATCACTGTCTCTGGTGCAGTGTAAGGGTCTCTTCCCGTTTCCTTTGTCTACAGCTCCATACTCTTATCATAGAATGGACTTTCAGAAAGCTGAGGAGATATTCATCCCCCAGAGCAAAGCCTCAGAAGAGCAACCCATGTTCTCTGTCATGACACGTGAGCTCCAGGGTACACTTAGGAGACTGCACATAGAAGCATATGAAAAATTAGCAGCCTAAGATTCTCTTCTATGCAACAACATGTGAACATGTGTGGTGAGGGAATTGTTTACTACTAGAAAATCCAAAGGAACATAGTTTTATGAGGAAAAGTGGGATTTTCTTCTTCAAATAATTTACAAGTCCATTGAAGATGCCTTTCAGGGCCTCAGTACTAATTCCAGCCATTGAAAACTTTAAGGCATGGTTAGATTGTTAGGCATGTTGAGTTCCTCAGTAATCCATTTAGACGTGTGTGTCTGCTGCCAGTTGTAGTAAGTATATCCATTCGGAGATGTTTATAATACCGAGTTTATTAACAGTTCATGGTTGTAAGATAAACCCATGGAAAGAAAATAATCAAGATGCAATGCAAGATATCAGTGTCCTAAGTTCACTGAAAGCAATTATTGAGGAACTTAGAAAATCCTTTGAGTGGATCAAGAAGTTTTGTATTTAGATGGCAAATATCTGCTACATTGAAATGCCCCGAATGAGAATGTGTTCAGTGATGAAACCTTTGAACGTGTGTCTGTGGTTCTCCTAAAACACTGAGAGACAAGGAGAGACAGAGACTGTGGGGTTAGCTATGTTTTACTGGACTGTTTCATACTTTTTATGCTTTGAATATGGAGCTCTAATATCTATCATATAGAGCATATATTATTTTAAATGAAGTTAAAAGTAGTAGTAATGATTAATTTGCAGTGTCTTTAGTATGCAACGAATATACAAAATGCAAATATCAATATCCCTACGCAGTATTTCGTAAGCAGAGAAAATCATTTCATTGACAACTTCTGGAGAAAGAAAGATCAGGTTAGATATAGTAATCACCTTTCACTGATTTCTGGGCCCAGGATAGATTTTAATTTTACTTTTCAGTTGTTGGCATAGCTGTGGTACATAAGCCTGTAAACTTTGTGTGATGTTTCCTACACTTTAAGAAGTTTTTCTGTCTTTCAACTCAGGACAGATGACTCGATTCTTTGAATTAAAGCTTAGGCTGGAAAACTCCTGCCCAGCATAAAGTTTGCACGCATGCTTATTCGCTGGTTTTATGCGAAACATATTGTGGTAGCTTATATGTAATTGATCCCCATAAGCTCATAGGGAGTGGCACTATTAGGAGGCGTGGCCTTGTTGGAGGAAGTGTGTCACTGTGGGGGCGGGCTTTGGGGTCTCTTTGGCTTAAGCTTCTCTCTGTGTGACACAGACCATTTTCCTGTTGCCCGGAAGACAGGATTCTCAGCTACTTCTCCAGCACCATATCTGCCTGCAGGCTGCCATGCTCCTCATACGATGATAATGGACTGAACCTCTGAAACTGTAAAAATGTTTTCATTCTAAGAGATGCCATAGTCATGGTATCTCTTCACAGAAATCGAACACTGACTAAGACATGTATCATTATCTGTGTCTTACCAGAAATCATTTAAAAATAAATTGATTGTATGTGGATTTAATGTGTAGAACGGTATCCCAAGAACATAGAGGTTATTCAGCATTGGCTACTCTTCCCAGTAAACAACTCCTTCTGAACTTCAGTCCTTAACTGAGGTCCACCAGGAGAACCTGACTAGCTGCACACGACGAGTGCAAAGCTCGGAGGAAGTCTGGAATTGCTGGCAGACAAGTGGAGCTTAAACTGAAGAGTGATATACACAGATGAAAACCAACTTGTTACAGTGTAAAACCAACATTCATCTGGTGAGTGCTTAGAGGAGAAACCTCTGAGACCTCGAGAGGCCTACTGACTGAGATTTAGGTGAAACAATATTCTCTGGATTCCAAGGATAATGGTCAGGTGGACATTTCTGACTCACTTTTTATTTAAAAGAAGTTCATCAAATAGTGAACTTGATTCCCCCCTAAAAGAACATTTCCCCAGTATGCATTTTTATGTGGTTTTTACATCATTAAATCCCTGGTAGTGAAGGGGACCATCTTTAAACTACTCGGCTATTACAACTGACTCAGCACCTGTCCTTTGCTTAGACACCGTGGCTCCCAGGATTAGCCACACAAAAATGAAGTCCAACAGGATAAACTTCTAATGGGAATCTGGGGATGGGAGGAGGCAGTGTTCACTGAATGGATAAAGAAGGAAATTTTAAGAAGTGAGAAACCGCCCTGCTGGATTCATGCAGAAAGAAAATCACAACTCACACATGAATTTTTAAGGAGCGGTTGCCCTACATAAGCCAGGACAGGCTAAAATTTCGTGTAACTTGAGATTTCCCTTTTGCAAGCCAATTATGCTTTCTCTTATTAAATAAAACCCTGAAAGGGAAGCCACTGGGAGCTCGGTGGTGGCTTCGTGTTCACACAGGCATGAGCCGGGAAGGACAGTACTACTCATTCTGTTGCCATATAACAAAAAGAGAAAGTTATTATTTACCTAGCTTTGAGAACCAAGGTTTTGTCACTTCCAGAGTGGACTATTTCCTATCAAGAAAGAGTTTGAGCAGTGCCTAGTGGCCCACTCTTGCAATCCCAATACCTGGGAGGCCGAAGCAGGAGGATTACAGGCTCAAGTCTAGCCTGGGCTACATAGGGAGTTCTAGGCCAGTGGGAGCTGCATAAGAAAATACCTTTGATCCCAGCACTTGGGAGGCAGAGGCAGGCGGATCTCTGTGAGTTCAAGGCCAGCCTGGGCTACCAAGTGAGTTCCAGGAAAGGCGCAAAGCTACAAAGAGAAACCCTGTCTCGAAAAAAAAAAAAAAAAAAAAAAAGAAAAGAAAAGAAAAGAAAAGAAAATACTGCTTCATAAACACGAGAAACAAAAAGATAAAGATGAAGATAACAGAGGGAGGAGAAAGAGGAAGTGTACACACTGCAGAAAGCTTTTGAAATATATGAAATCCAGCCATTGAGAATAAAATCAACAAAAGTATAAAATGTGTGCTATGCATTTGTTTATAAGCAGGCTAATTCAGAATATTGCTTTGATTTCCTCTTCGTGCTTCACATAACTATGTGGACATGGCTGTCGCTATTACATTCTCACTTGGGCTGAAGTCTTAGACTAACCAGAAAGACGAAAGAGAACCTGAGTTTCAACATTCACCTCTCTCTGACCCTGATTGTGGATAGAATGTGACCAGCTGCCTCCTGCTACTGCTGCTGTGACTTCCCCAGAGGATGGGCTGTCTCTTCTAACTGTGAACTAAGACTTAACCCATCTCTTCTTAAGTTACCTTTGTCAAGTATTTTGTACAACAAGGAGAAAAATAGTGACTATACATTCCCACCAGCATTGGAAAGAGACAACACTACTTGTGAATCTTCCATAAAATATAACCAATAAAAATGCAGAGCGACTGATATATAACTCCTGCAATTAAGGCTCAAAAAACATTGAGGAAGAGGGGTGGAGAGACTGTAAGGGGCACGGGAATAGGGACCTGCTGTGAGTTGGTGTCTCTGAGGAATGACAGAAGCCACACTCACAAAGTCTCACTGACATGACTGTCTGAACAGGGACAACAATAGATAGGGAGAGCTGATGAGGTCTCGACCCTACACAAAGAACTCCAGACAGCTGAGGAATGCTGAGACATGCCAGCTGATTACCTAATACCAAATGGTCATCCCCTAAACACACACACACACACACACACACACACACACACACACACTCACAACATTATACAGACTGAGCAGGGTATATTTGTGTATATAGGAATACACAAATATTCATGTAGGACTCTGTGTGTGTGTGTGTGTGTGTGTGTGTGTGTGTGTGTGTGTGTGTACAAATAATGGAAAAGAAGACTATGAATTTGAAGGAGAACAAGGAAGGGTATAGGGGAGTGTTTAGAGGGAGGAAAGGGAAGGATGAAATTATATAGTTACATTATAATCTCAAACATTTAAAAAGGTTGCATTGACATGGATTTTTCTGGACTTCTTTAAAACCATAAACACTGGTTGGCCAGTGTTAATTATGACGCTATTTTTCTAGGGAACAGTGCTCTGAGATGAATATACCCAGTAGATTAGACTCATAGCCTATGGCTAAACTGAATACCCATACTTGGCTCTGCCCATTAAACACAATTTGAGAAATTCAATACGGCTGAGCCTGGCACATCACAATGTATAGCACAGAGCTCAAATTCAAGTTGCTGATGAAAGTTCATGATGAAGAGGTTCATTGAGTACTAGAGCTATTCACATCTAAATACTTGGGATTTCATCATCTTGCTGTGCACTTAAGATATTCACATGTACACAAATAACCACATTTATATACCAAACCAACTGCTTGAGTTAATTTAAATTTTTTTCATATAATATATTTTGGTCATATTTCTCCTCCCAACTTGTCCCAGATTCTACCCTTCTCTGTCTACCCTAATTCACATTCTTCTAGAGTTAATTTTTAAGTGGGAAATTAGGGTGTCATAATTTAAACTTTTTCACCCATTACCTCTAAATGATACAGTTAAGCACAGCAGCAAATATTTCAGAAATGTAATCT